AGCACAAAGAACAAAAGTTCTATGGGGGGGATAGTTACCCAGAGTAGCAGAATCTCCAGTTAAGAAATGAACGAATGCATATATGGAGGCAAGTGGCGACTGTTCGCCTGTCCAGAAGACCAATTAGGTCTAGCCATGGCAGCACCACTTTATGGGAAATGTACGGTAGGACCATCTTGGGGGCCCCACTACCGTGTCACATGAATAATGTTATTACGCGGTGCTCGAAAATATTGAGACCCCGAGGATTTTTACTATTATAAGCATCGGCCCCAAAGGAGCTATCGACCTAATCTCGAGGTGGTGCCCGATCTCGAGGGTCCCGATTTCCCCCAAACATGAACTCCTAAGAATCGACATCAAAATTCAAAAGCTAAATTCCACATGATCGCTGAAAAATAAAGAATGCAAGACTGGAAATGAAAAATTTTCTTTTTTACATTGCCAAAAATATGTCTGTAAGGGGCACCTTTACAAGACATGTTTCCCCAGGAATACATACACAAAAAGAAAAAGAAAGGCGATGCAGGCCTACTCTTCATCGTCGCTGCCCTCTGAACCATCTCTGGGATCTTTATCCAAAGTGACTAAGAGTGTTAATTCCTCCTTCAAATCTCGGGCCTCCTCGATCTTAGCTGAGAGATCGACACCTTCAGCATTGGCTTCCTCTAAGGCTTGTCTCCTTGCCTTTACGCGAGCTTAAGTGACAGTCCGAGTCAGCTTTCGCTCGGCCTCCTCTGATATCTCCCGAGCCAGCTGATTCGATGTAGCAGCGTCTCTCATATATGTAGTAGCATTCTCTTCGACCTCAGACTTGGCCGCATATAGCGCAGCAATCTCCTCTCGAGCATTTCGGAGAAGAACCTGGGTTGATGACAACTCCGAGGTCACGACCTCGTTTTTCCTCCTTAGCTCGAGGATCTCCATGTTCATGTCAACAACTTCTTCCCGAAGTCGCCCCTCGAGAACATCCTTCTGCCCGATATACAAAGGAAAAGATAAGTCAGTAAACATTGAATTGAGAGAATGGCAAACGAATTTACGAATAACAAATTACCTGCTCAGCAAGGCCAGCCTTTTCTCGGAGTGCTCCCTCCAAAATCGCCCGAAGCTCACTTAACTCCTCCTCCTTTCAGGTAGAGGAGGCCTCCGACTCCTGCATTCCCGAGGTGAGCTTCTCGAGCTCCTTTCCACGGCATGAAATCTCATTTTGGAGCCTAGATAAGGCATGATCATACATCTCTTTAGACTACAACAAAACAGAAAAGTCAGAAAAATGAGGAAAAATGCTTGAGACTAGAAAAGTGTACATAAAAAGCTATCACCTACCGCTGGAACTTCTCCGCTTACTCGATAGTGTTGGGAGTATCGAGATCAATGTACTCACTGACATCATCAACGTCATCAAAAAGTTGCCAAGCTCATCTCCCCCTTCAGAGGACCCCCCACGTAGGTAGCCTTTGGGTCCTAAGCGTCCCTTAATTCCCCGGGCAAGAACTGAGGACCCAAATTAAGGCCACCCAGGGCATCAATATCACCAAGGGGAAAATCCTGTCCCCAAAAAGCTCTGGGCCCGAACCCTTTGGAATAAGGAGGAACGGTCTCCTCGACAAGAACTGCACCACGTTCAACCGGGGGCTCAGGGACCGCATTTACACCCTCCTCGAGGGTCTCCACCGTACGGGATCGACCTGAATCGACTGTTCCTGATTCAACAGCCTTTAGTCAGGACGTCTGCGGGACATTTGTGCCTAACCTCGTCCTTTGTACCAAACGGTACCCATCATCATCGTCGTCTTCATCCCCAGTACTGGGACTTGCTCCGGAAGCTGAAGTCGAGGTCCTGGGAGCAACTCGAGGCCTGCGTGATTTAGGTTTCTTTGCCACAGGAGAATCAGCAGCCATCTTTTTCCTCCTCTTCTTGCCCTTATCAGGCTTTGGAGCCTCTACCTCACCATCGGGAGGTGGTCTCATCTGCACTCCATCACTAAGGACTGCGCAAATATAGTGATCAAAATTTACCAGCGCGGAGAATATGGGGAAGAAATATAAAAATATGATATAGGCAGAAGGATTTTACGATGATTCTTAGCCACCCATTACGTTTTAGCTAGGTCGGGCCAAGACCGCCCGAGAAATGGGAATGAAGCATCCAATTGCCTAATCCATCCCGTCAGATCCTGGATTGCTTTAGGATACCAAACGGTAGCTGCATAAACGAAGGGGAGATCATTTTTGGAAGGAAGGTAAGAAGACAATAAAGCATGTTCAAAGGAGAGGTACTTACGCTGCGTATTCCACTCCTCCAGGAATGGCATCTTTTTGGTCGGGATGATGTCCGAGGTTCTCACTCGAACAAACCTGCTCTCCTTGTCCTCATCAATGCTCAAGAAAAATGGCTTCTTGGACCGAGGGTAAAGCTTAATCAAACCTCGATAAAGTCGAGGGCTATACAATCTAATTAAATGGTCAAGGGTAAAGGTCGTACCCACGACCTTGTTGGAGAAGTAACAGAGCATGTAGACTATCCTCCAGAAAGATGGATAGATTTGGCCAAGCGTCACTCGGTACTTTGTCAAAGAAGTCAAGAATAACCAGATCTATTGCCAGGGAAGAATGGTTTGAGGAATCAACGGGACCCAAAGTGAACGGATATGTATATACACAAAGGAAGCCAGCTTTGTGGTTTGTTATGCTCTCGTCAGAACGGGGGATCTCAACCAGCACTGTCTCCTTCCATTGACAGTCTTTCTTCACCTTTTCTATATTGGTCACGACGCTAATATACCGGGACACGTGTTCGCATCGGCCCGATGTAGACAAGGGTCTATCGACGGAAAAATCATTTACCGTGTTGAACTCGGTAGGGGTACATTGTTCAACGGTGGGTATCACTTTGGGTTTGCTTTTGGATGTTTGAGACAAAGAGGCAGCATCCTCTTTTTGAGGCACTATTTTAGAGGTTCTAGTCATGGTGGTGGAAAGGCCTTTCTGAGAAAGTAAGTAAGGAATCGAGAATGAAAGAAGGAGGAATGTGAAAGAGGATGGCCTTGGCCCTGAAATCTTGAAGATGTTGTAAAGGTATGAATATCAAATGATTGATGTATTTATAGAAGCCATGTAGGCAGCAGAAAGGACGAACCAATAGCGGTTCGTGGGCTTCTCGATAGTCGTGTTGACGGCGACCCTTCCGCGGCTTTTGAGTTATGGCATTTAATGCTCTGATAGGCTGATGTCATGAAGATGATGCTTAAGTAGTAGGAGTTCTAAACCGTTTCCTATCACTTTGCTCTAGGAAACACGGGGACTATCTGTATACGGTAGAAATCGACGGTTCGATTTTACGATCATCAAGGCATCTCGAGGGTTTTCAGTGATCGACTTCGAGGGTTCTCAATGATCGACTTCGAGGTAGTGTAAGTAACGATCGGCCTCGAGGCAATGTAAATTAGTGGTCTCGGTGGATCAATGTGAAGTTCCCAAGGCGCGTAAATTAGAGCTGACAAAGTCTAGTGGACTAGTCCAAAAACGAATCAAGGCATTAAATGGTTGTACCAGCCCCATATCTTTGTAATTAATGCATTTGTACTATGTTGGGATTCCCTCTCATATATAAAGGGGATCCTTGTCATTCTATAGACATCTGATACTCAATATTAAATATACAAAAATATTCTCTCTGCTTTCTAACACATTCTCTTGATCTCATTACTTTCATCTATTGCTTATATTCATTGTGTTCTATTTATTGTTCTTCATTTATTGCTTATCATTGATAATAAAGATCCATCACCGTAGCTCTCATAAAGTGTTAGTCCTCTCTCGATCGCTCTAAGTCGGTCACCCAACTCGACCCCGAGGCCTTATAAACGACAGCTCGAGGCCCCGATCTCCAACTGTTCAGTTCGATTATCATATCGTCTCTAAGCTATAATCTTGCTTTCTAATCTTTTACTTAGCATCCATTGCCTAACAACTAGTATAAAAATAGATCACGTATTTTTAGAACAACATAATCAAATTTAATTGTAATTACCATTTTTACGGTAAACACAATCATATCATCTCACAACTATGCGATGGCTAACTACTACAACCACAAAGTTAAGGATAGAAATTTAACTGATCAAGTTTTCTAGCGAATCTTGCATGCATTGTTCCTTATATCCTTGTCAGGTGATTGTCTAGAGAAGGAGAATACAGCTCTCAAAATTGAGCTTTACTCTTGTTCGGAGTTGGAAATTAGTGTTGGATTATTATAATCTAGACAACTAGCATATACGGGATTTCACGGGTTACCTCTTGAAGCGTGAAAAAATCTCTTCTACTACTTTATGAATAAAAAAGCAGAAGCTCCACGCTACGTTTTGATATTAATTTAGCACTAGTTTTCTAATGGTTTCCTCCGTGTGCAGGTAAATATATTCTATGTTGGCATTCTTTTATTATTCAGGGAAGCAAATAAAGTTGCTCACAATCTTGATGCACACAACCACTCAAGAAAGAATCCAAAAAGAATATTGGCTTATACAAACCATTGAAGTGACAATCCAAAAATGAAAGTCTAATATTCTGAAACATTCATGAAAATCACAACAAAAATATTAAAACATTTATAGCACCTATGTAAATAAGTAGAGCGGTGCAGCAGCTATAAATAGAGTTAGATAGAATATAGAATAGCAATATACAAACAACAATTCAAACCAAATAACTAAGAAGCTGCACAAAGGCGACAAGTTAGAAGACACTCGAGAAGAAGAGGTGAGCCACAAGATTGAGATCTTGCCATGCCTTTTCACAGCCATCTTAAGAAAAGAGGCTGTGTTATAAGTGATCTGCATTGTGCACAATTTAAATTCATGTATAATTGATTAAGAAATAATTTTAGCATCATAGAGCAGAAAAAGATCATCACTCAATCACACGGCTTGGGCAAAATAAATAAAGGTCATTAGGTCACTTCAACTTCATATTCAAAATATACTGTACTTAAGTTACTAGTCCCAAAGAATTGCCGAGGAAACTAAACTTTCGACGTGCAAAAGTGAAACTCCGCGAATTCCTTTCATCGGAAGTTCGTCCAGGCAATACTCTGTGGCTTCATCTTTCCGCACATTGTACTCGATCAAATAATAACCATCATTATCAACCATTTTGTATAGTATATTCCCGTTCGCCTTGAGAAATATGAAGTCACCCCACGTGGGCTTTCCAATCAATGATCCCAAAGTTGGAATGTTCATGATGTTATTCCATGTCAAGCCAGTTTTCCCATCTTCCTTTAATGCCCAAATTGAAATTTTCCCTCCGACCATCCAGGAAATGCAAATACGATTAGCAAAAGCACGTAATTTCAGTTTATACTTATGCTTACCTGGAACTGGCGTTATAGCGAATTTTTCATTTGCTAAGTATAAGGATATGACCAAGTATTCAGAATCTTGCTTGTAATTTCCTATGTTTGAAGCGGCCATAATGTTAATTGTACCATTTAATGAAACAAGATCTTGGTAGAACAACTGAAAACCACGGGGAATAGGAATATTATCAATCCTTTTCCAAGAGTGGTTATTAATTGAGAATATTCCAGCAATCATGTCACGCTGATATTTTCTTAATTTTACACATACTACCTTGTAATCATCAGCCACTAAATCATAGGCAAAATCAAATAGTGCGTCGTCATACCACGGTAGCAACTTATCATCAGGCTTGGGTAACAATTTGTATTTTCGAATTGCAGGATTCCATAAGATCATATTGATCTCAGTTTTCATAAGTACCAAACCATTGCATGAATGCACCTCAAAATCAGAAAAAAGACTATGGCAGAATTCTGGGAAGGGCGGGTTCACCAACAAAACTTTGGAATCAACACCAAGTAATGCTTCATGAAATTGGAATTTAGCATTTGACCTGAAGATATTTCTAAAAGAAACAAAGAAAAGTTTTTGACGACTTATATTGGCAGACGATTCATGTAAATGCAACTTGATGAAGTTAGGGTTACTGATGGAGAAACGCCATGATTTGCATATACATTTGAACCGTAAAAGAGATGTGACAGGTAGCTTTATGAGGATGGAGTTGACGATATCGTCAGGCAAACTGGGAATTCTTGAGCGGTCACTCATTGAATATCGATCAGACTGTTGCTGCTTAGGGTTTTAGTGTTACCCCATATATTTGCCTACTTAGGGTTAAGTTAGTATTACCAACTTAACCTTTTATTTAACAAAAAAAAAAATAAGGTTTAATTTCAGAGACATCCCCTCATTTTTGGTTTCGCGACACTAACATTTCTTGTGATTTACACTTACCTCCCTTATTTTGATTTGTTGTAACAATTCTTAACATATTTATTATTAATAATAATATAAAAACTATAATATGATGAATTTACCCTTTCTAATATACTCTTTTATTTGGTTATTTGCAATTTTCTTTTCTAAAAATTCTATAGAATAACAACGTAATACCTGGACTAGATAAATACCCTCTTTCAAAATACCTTTATGACTTAAATATTTGAGCTTTTGTGGATTTCTTGGCAAATTTCAAGAATCTGAATTCTTCTTTTCTCTTTTTTTAAGGTCCAACGCGTATATAATAAAAACCAACTCTAGAAATATGGGTGAATATTTGCTTTATCCGTTCTTCAACATCATTAATTTCTTTTTGCGAAACTTAAAATATGAAAAGAGAAATACGGTACAAAAGAAAAGGACCGAAACAACAACTTTTTAGCTCAATTTTAAATATGAAATTACTTTTGTCTTAGCATATGAAATTAAATGTAAATAGCATAATATGCCCTTCTTAATAGCCTAAACTCCCAAATCATCAGCCAGGTCAAGCAACTGAAATGTGTTGAAGAGGTCTAACCTTGAGAAACAGTAATGAAGCCCCTTCTTTTCTTCTTTTCTTTCCAATAACTATACCTCCAAGCCTTAATAAAAAGAAAAAAATCACCTAATCGATTTTTATCTTTACAAAAATTTGAACCCAAATATCACATGATTTTCACTCACCTCAGTGCAACGGTTAGACTTTATACCCTTTGGTGTAGTAATGAAAAATCGGTTAAGTGATGGGTTATGAAGGCAGATACCTTAAAAAAACATGCAGCATGACACGGAGAGCAAAAGCGGCAGAATCCTATAAAAGGAATCTAAAATTGGTAAAAACTTGCGCCAAACCAATAGAAGCATAGTATTTATTCACACAAAAAAGTCTATCACTTGATCATGGTTAATCAATGCATTTTTTCACTATATTAAATTACTTAATCATGGTAAGTTTAATTGATTTGGTGTAAACACCGAGTGCGGATAAACATTTATTTGTCAATTGGCGACATCGGAGCCATGATTATTTTTTTGCGCTCATTACACAATTATGTATATACACCAAACCAAAATAAGCATAGTATTTGTTTGCACATAAAAGTCTACCACTTAATCATGGTTAATCAATGCATGTTTTCACTAAATTAAATTACTTAACCATGGTAAGCTTAACTGGTTTGGTGTAAACACCCACTGCAGATAAGTATTTATTTGTCAATTGGTGACACCGAAGCGATGATTAATCTTTGCGCTCATTACACATTATGTAATGTGGCTATCCCCAGTAAAGACTTGCAGCACTTTGCTGTATATTAGTAGAAAGTACCTTTACCAATCAAAACAAAATTGTCAATTGATGGTTCTTGACTCAGAGCATCCATCTCCAATTAAAAAGGGGGGGAAAACAGACAAATGTGCATCCAAGTGTAGGATGCAAATACATGTTCATCATTATTGTGAATCCTACCCACCAGAAAAGCCCCATAATAAGGTACATAGAAAGGTGATCTAGGAGTAGTTGCTGCTGTAGAAATTTTTCAGGAAACTAGAGAGACCCTGATCATTGGGTGCAAGGTCCTGCACAAGACCTTGGTTACCAACGACATATTGGCCAATAATATGATGCCTCTGTTTTGAATGGTCCACGATGTTCTTCAACTCTTCCATGCCCTTGAACAGCAGCATGTCAATTACCTGCGGGATAAAGATGAGTTAAGAAGAAAATAGATAGACTGCCTTGCTAATATTAGTACGAACGAGATGTTAAATATGGATAAGAGTGTATTCACGTGAAAGTATGATGAATAGCAATCAGTATCTTGACAAGAATATCACAAGGGTCCAACTTCCCAGAACCATGTTAATATACGAGCCAGAAGTGTAAACCATTCCTGGAATCCTCTCTGGTTTCTTTCCTTATTTTTGTTTCTTCAGGGTTGGGGCTAAAGAGCAGGACATTGTTATAAGGGAGGTCAAGGATTGCAAAACTTCATATTCATGTTCAGATAATGCAATCAGGAGCTTAATCAAAGTCATCCCACTTAGTAATGATGGACTGTGAAAGGTTCATAATGCATATGAAACTATGTATGAATGCAGCTTCCTCACCTATCAGAGAAGGCCAAGTATAAGGAGTGCAAATTTTGTATGATATTGATATAGGAGCACCGGATAATTTAACACAGAACATTGAAATCTTAGATTCTTTTTTATTGTAGACATGGTAAGGGGGGG